TTTCCCGTTTAGGACAGAGCGTGATCAGCAAGCGTATATATTTGGAACTAAATAACTATATCTTAGTAATAACTCCTAAATGTAATGTTTGTTAGTGATAGTAGTGACATTTTTATGAAGGTTCTCTCTCAATTTTGCGCTGAAATCTCCTCACCGACACTGCTGCATAGAAATCTCCGCGCGCGGAAAGTTTCAACTCGCAGAATCATGCGGAGTTTATCAGCAGTCTGCACACACGTGTTGAATTCTATCGCGAAGCCCTGTCCTATCCGAATGCCGCGCATGCCGCCGCGTGCTAGGCCGGACGAGCCAAAAGTCCCGCACCCCGCCTCCAGGAATGTCAAAACAGTGGTGAAGAAATGGTCCAGAGTTCGATCCCCGGTGATGACTAATTTTTGCAATATAGTTTGGCGCCCCCAGATTGCCGCCAAATGGCGCCATCGTCGAGAATAGATGTCATTGTCGTGTTTTGCGGCAATTTGGAGGCCAACATAAATTGCAAAAATTTGTCATCACGGAGGATCGAACTTTGGACCATTTCTTCCCCGCTGTTTTGACATTCCTGGGGCGTTCAGGAAAATGGACCATGGTTCTGTGTTCCTCACATGAGCCTCTACAACATTCAGAAAACCATTTTGAAAAAACGCTCCATGTCCTGAAAGACCCCCTTGTAAGATCGTCATCATTTCCTTTGTAAAAGATTGCTGTCAATTGCTGGATTTAACGACCTTTTTGGATTTCCACTTATTTCCAGGTACCCCTCCTCTTTTATTTTGGGCCACGGCATTACCGTATCTACTGCTTCAACCATATCTCATTGAAAATTGTTTACGACCACTGACGTTATCTTTGTTTCCGGTTTTACTTATCATAATCGCATTATTGGTAAACAGTGCAATGATTTAATGGGTGAGGATTAGTTCGACTCACACGTACTAACCACTCGGTCGCGCAATGGAGGAGTGGATTCCTTTGGAACGCATGGAGACTACAAAAGGAGACGAAAAGTACTTTTTACTGTCGGAATTTTTACTTGATACTCTCCCAATATGCCACATTCAGGAAAGACGTCCTGTACAGCTGGACGTATTCGCCATCTGGTCGGTATGCAGTCGATTTCGACTACAAGGTGAAGCACCGTCAAATTGCTAAACAAGTCTAATGTGTTCGAAGGGGAATTCATGTTCATTTGTTTGAGGAAATATCCCAACTCGAAGATGAACCAGAGACACACCACTTCCTCTTCCGTTTCTTCGTACTAGATATTCTCGAAAAAACCTGGTATCCTTACACCGTGAATACTGGACCGTTTAAGGTGATCTCATTACTTCTTCGAGCAAATTCTAAGGAGAGTT